AAGGCGGGCCTCGGAGCCGCGGACAAGCCAAGCTCACCGTTCATATTTATAAAGTCTTTACCTTGAAGGTTAAAAGATGTGAAAGAAAAAGGAGGGGACGTGGGGGAGTGGGAAGACATCTCCTGAGCTCCCATCCACCCCCTTTCTGCCTCCTCGAGCTCTCCCTCCCCCCGTGTTGGTAAAATAACCACGCAACCCGGGCTGAGGGGGCGGGGTGAGCCAGGCGCGAGTGTAAGAAAGCAGATGTCCCCGCTGGCAGCAGCCTCAGCCTCCGGGGAAAGCTGCACCGGGGGGCCCTCCCGGGGACATTCACCTCCCACTTCTCAGGCGTCCCGCTCACAACTGCCTCGCCTCGGCGGGGGTGGTTTTTTCAAACCCAGCGTTTCGTGTGTGCAGCTTTTTTACCTGGGAGCTGTTCTTACCCGGCCACGCTTACCAGATGCCAAGATGCAGCCCTGCACGACTCAGTAATAAAGAGCCAGAGGGTGGCCACCCCACCTTGCAAGCTGCAGCCAGCACCACCTCTGCAGTGCGGGACTGGAGCCTGCTCGCCAGGCTGCCTCCTCTGTGGCCCAAGAGGGCCTTTGTCCCTCGGAAGTTGGCAGCACTAGAACCAAAAGAAAACAAGAATTCCCTGCTCTTACTACAAGTGGTGGAGGTGGGAAAAGAGTTGACTGGAGAAGAGGGGTCGGCGATACACTTGAATTTGAGTCACTTTCTGGGCTGTAATTTCTCTTGGTTGTCAGTAATCTAGCGGATGTCAACTGTGTGAGGGGCTTTTCCTCTTCCAGAGGAGGAGAGAGAAAAAGAACCCCCTTTCAGGATAGGTACAGTGGTATATTCTGGCTGGTACACGCTGGGAAGTTTTTATTTTTAATGTTGTGTATGTGGGGGAAGAAGTGAGGAGGGCTGGGTGGGTAGAAGGTGGGGGTGGGGAAGGGAAGAGACTTGGAGAATTGTCTAGGCGTTTTCATTCAGCCCCAGTGGCAACGGGAAAGAAAGAACCCTTCAAGGGAAACCTAACAATCCCTGTGTCACCTTGGTGAGGAAGACGTCAGTGAGATGTGTTTGGCACCCTGGGAGGTTGAGGCACTGCTCTCATTCTTCCTCAAGTTAAGGCTCTTCACTGTGGCACAGGGGCCTGCTCCAATTCCCTCATCCTAAACCCTACAGCTTTTCAAAACACATGCTCCAAAGAAGGCTGAAATTTCTGTTTTGAGAGTTGCAAATCAATGTTTACTTCATAAAACTGAAGTCATGCCTCAAACATTTTTAAAAATTGGGGTGGGGGAGGAAGAGAAACCTAAAAGACAAGAATCACAGGGAAGAAAATGAAGGGGAAGTGTCATTTTAAACAAAATTCTGCAGCCTTCTGAACTGGTATCCTCTTAAATGTCAATCAGGCTGCTAACAACAAATAACAAATTTCTCAACAAGAATGTGAATATTACCAATATAAATTAATAAATATGGATATCGTTCTTATAGGGTTTTAGATTTGCTCCCATTAAACACAAATGTTTCTTCAGTAAGTTTAGTTTGAAAAATAATTTAAAAATTCAAAGTGATCTATTAGTTGTAATAAAATATGACCAGGTCTGGTATCACCCTTCTATCAAGTTACTGGAAATAAAACATGCATTTTATAAACTTCCAAAAAATGTGCTGTGTTTTATTTCCTTTATATTTTTTTACTCAGGAACAAAGAACACATTAATGATCACAATATAAGTAAGTCTTTAAATACTTAATTCATTTCATCATGTAGCTACACAGTAAAAATTAAAACCCTGTATATTATTTTTAAAAACCTAAAGTGTTTAAATAGTTCTACCACTGTTTTTCACTAGGCAACAAATGTCTTAGGTTTTGTATTAACTTAAATGTTTATGCTGTCTGCTATTCTGTATTATAGGTTTATTAAAAAAGAACATCACATAGAGCATAAATAATTTAAAAGTTTTAATGAAAACAAATGAAAAAACCCTACAAATATTTGAAATCACCAAATTCAACAGCTCTAACTAGAATTCCAAGCAATAAGCTTAGACAGTTGAAGCAAACATAAATTATGGTCATACACACTGTAAACATGAATACAATCAACTGCAGTTTAATCTTTTAAAAGATAATAAAGGAAAGTAACAATATAAGTTTAGAAAAATTCAAATAGCTGTGATTTTTCAATAGATGATCTTGAACTAAGTTTGCAATCAAGTATTTATAGTATTAGAAAGCCCAAATCATCACATAGAACTTGATATGTCTGTTTTCAAATCCGTCTTAAGTCTTCTCATTAAAGTGTGAATTAAGATGCCGGAGGAAATCTCCCCTGGAAGTACCTGATGGTGGGAAAACTGTTTGACAGAATTCACATACTTGAGATATATTCAGTTCTGAGCCTTTGCGACTTAGTACCGATGATAAATCACTGCCTTGATTAGGAGAGGGCTTCCAAATGGGCTGCAGGAAACAAAGAAAAACATCTCCTGTTATTTGTAGTTAAAATAAATTTTCATTGAATTTCAAATTCAAATTTTTTGAATGGGTTACGTGCATACATATGAGATTCCCTAATAAGTTACCTTTCAATAGAGTTAGCGTGAGACATGACTCAATTCTCTTCTTCATAAGGGGTATAACTAACCTTTGATTAAGAATCACTTAAAGTACACATACATGCACTTTATCTTCACATATTTAAAAATCTTCAAACTTTAAACACCAGCATATTTTAATACTCGTATCACAAAGGCAGTTTTGGAACAACAGTGAATAATTGAGAATTTAAAAATTAAATTCTGTCTTTCCTATTTTACAACAGAAACCTTAAGGTATAGGGCCTTTATTAAGACATAGAACACTAGATGTGAGAGGTATATACTTGCACTGTGACGAAGAGCAATTCAAATTGCACTATTTATAAGCAAATACACAATGAACAAATCATACACAAATGTTTTTTCGACTTTCGAAAAGATTTTTTCTTTGTAAGTACCAAACAAATTCCACTGATCATGTTTTTTAAAAACCACAAATATTTAAATTAATCATTTAACAAAATCTAATATTGGATTCATTTTTTTGATTTCTTATTTTGCTCCTGTTACATAGTGCATAGTCTGGCCTTCTTTATTCCTTTTTGTGGCTGAATGAAGTGAAACCTGTTAATGGTTACCTAATTAAAGAATTATAGAAAATCATAATTCAACAAAACTACCTCCATTTATAAGCAGCATATAAATACCCTTAAATAACTGAATTTATTCTTTAAAAAACAAACAAACAATAACCTAGAAAGGCAAGGAAAAGCATTTAGTTCCAAAGTAGGTGCTCAATAAATACTTGTTGACTGGAATATCTTATTTTCCTAAAGTGCTGCAAGCCACATTATTTTTTACACATGCTTTCTTACTTTGCATAGGTAAATTACTGTGACATAGCTAAATTCTGATAGTTTGAGGAAAATCACCTCAAAAAGTCAATTTAAAGAGTTACCTTTATGCTCCTATTACTACTATGTTTTTAAAGTAACAGCCTAGTCCAAAACCTCATACAGTGTTAGTTTTCATTCCCTTAACCAATCTCTTTTATTCTAGTTAACCAATCATTTACAAAAACAGTATATGTATCACTAATTGAAGCATCTGGATTTTGTGACATCACTGTCTTCTTACAAACATTTAACTGGACAGCTGTGTACGCTTGGTGTAGATATACAGAGCCTAAGTACCAGGATACATTCAGACATCAGAAGAGAGGGCGTATAACAACACTGACTCAATTCCTTTTGTGAAAAGTGGTAATTTTATCACATAAAATAGTAGTATTTAAAATATGCATTTTGAAATTTCAGATAAAATAATGTCTGGAAAAATCTTCTTGATAATAAAAAGTAGTAATTTTGAGTATATAAGCAAATATCTAGTTAAGTAGATTTAAATTTTACTGCTTGCAGTTTAAACACAAAGTGAAATTATTATGTACCACCCTAATGGGAAATTGATTTAGATATAAATATAAAAGTTATGTTAAAATAATTATTATTAAGATCTATAAAATAATATGAAGCAGACTTAGAAGCAATTTAGCTTCTAAATTTGGTGAGCCAATCTTCTGCCAATTTATCTTCAAAGTCTGTCTTTATCTTTCTCTGGTAGGGGCTATTAATTAAGATTTGATCTCTTCATGGAACTCAGCTGGGGCCCCAATGACTGACTCAGCAAAAGTAGGAAGAAAAGAAAGTCACAAGCAAAAATAAGCAGATATATTTTAGACTTTGTAATGATAGCAGAATGTATAAAAAAAGTGTTCAGTAGTAATGATTAATATGTAACCACAATTTCACTCCTCTTTGTTATTTCAACTCAAGAATTTTGTATTTATCATACTAGCTTTATTAATACAAATAAAATAGCACAATATTTTTAAAAACCCATTTTAAGAAATATTCTTTCAATCCTAAACTGTAACATGGCCTTCAAAACAAACTAATTTTGCTTTTCCTGCCAAAATAACAATTATCTAACCTTAGGCCCTGTGTCTTGTGACAGCTCAACACCAATTCTCCTGCATTTTTTAAGCTGAATACTTTTCCATCAAGTTGTAATCACATACCAGCTGTTTCCCTGCTCTAGCATAGAAAGCAAATGCACAATGCAGGGTGCCATCTACTGAAACATGAATGTACAGACTGACTAGTAAAAGAACAAGCAAGAGATATAATGGAGAAAAAAGTAATAAGCATTAGAACTGATGTACTTCACAGCTCCACAGGAATTCTACTTGCAATAAATGAAATTGTTTAATTTGCTTCATTTAGTAGTAACTATCACTGAGACTATAATGTGAAATAAGGTACAATGTAGAACATAAGTGAGTTTATAATTAAAGCTTATTGTCAGAGATGCCTACTTTTCCTAACTACTAAAATATACCTCAGCTTGGCTACTGCGTCCTTTGTATGCTGATTTAAAAGTCTATATAGCCTATGAGAGTACTTATAAAGCCAAAGGGTATTCATCAAGTTGTTTAAGAAAAGAGAAATCAAACAAATATTTGCAAGTTATATAGACATTTACACTAATCTATTTTCATGAGTGTCTGTTTATTTTAACAATTATATATTTTCATTTGCCTTCAGGTATTAAAAAAATTTCTTTTAGACAGAAAGAATTATCCTGTGATAGCACCTGAATAAAAAAGGTGGTATGAGTGGATTGGGGGGCGTTAAGCAGTCTGCGAGCTTTAGGAACACTAAAGTATCTGATTAAAATCATATATACGCAGAAACTATTTAAAATATATTAGGCTGCATGTTCAGTGCCAGGTTAGAAACCAACCAAAACTAAACCCTACAGATCTACGTACTGTGTAACTGAGAATGTAACAGGAGCATTGGCTGAAAGACAGATTGCTTATTTTCATAAAGAGGAATATACAATGCAATTATTTACTTATGAAACATCATGGATTCTTGTAAAGATGAGTATGATCTACACAAACTTTTTAACAGAAAAATGCCATTTGTTTCACAGTATGACATTTAATAGATAATCCTGTTATAACACTGATGCTGAGCAAAAGAGCTCTGAAAAAGGGACAAAGAAAGTGGCACACGCTAGATATGCATAAGGCTTACATGCATTTTAACATGTGCCTTAAGTTTCAGGGTACTTTATAACAGAGCTTTATGATATTTACCTCTTATACTTTCCTGTCATTTATTATAGAGCTTCGATTTTTTATTGAGAGCTTAAATATGGCTAGTCATTAGTTTAAAAGGATGTCTGATAACCTGAAAGAGATGCATATCTGTCTGGCAAAATGTGTGTTCACACATAATATATTTGTTAATGCAAAACAGTTACCTGCTGTGGTCCTCGGATAGCTTTTCCCGGGGAATCAAGTGAAGGACAAGGTGCATCAGAGAGTTTCTGAAGTGGGAATGTATTTACATACAATGCATTATGGTCTCCAGGTGGCAAACACGGAGCTCTATCCAGAGTCGTCCTGATACAAGTGTTTACAAGATTTGAGGATTTTGTATTGTCAGTTGTTTTAAGGTTTTGTATATCTGAAGTTATAGGGTCAATTCCCTGAATTCCAAAAAAAGTTTCTTCTGTTTTAGCAAAGTTTCCCGGGTCGTCTCTGATTTCCATATTGAATTCATCCTGGCACACAACCTCAGATGCGGCAGGACGGAGGATGTTGGGTCTTTCTGGAGTGCTGTGTAAGAAAGCAGAGTCACTGTCCACAGGTGGAAACTTGACATTGAATTTAGAAAGTGATTCAAAAGAGGTGTCCTCCTCATCTCGGCCCAGTCCTCTTGGTGTGACAGATGTGATGCAGGGTGCACTTCTATTTATATCATCTTTAGCCTGAGGCTTAAACAGCACTTCTTGTTTATCTGCTTTATCCGTACACTGTATAGGCACCGAGCACTGTGTTTCTGCAAGGAAAAGAACACGAAAGAAAAAGTCACATTCCAATCGTACTTAACAATATGAATGTTCAATTAGCTTTGGGCAGATGAGTATTATTTTTTTCTATTGGTTTTTATAGCAACTGAAGACAACTGGAATTTTTTACATTTGCTATCATCTTACACAGAAATATTAGCATTCTCCAGCGAGTGAGCGGAACATAGCTTATTAGCTGCAGTTTAACTGATTTGTCTTTTCCCAGGTCTTTTGCTGTAAGCTTTGCATCTTGTTCACAGCTCTACTGCTCTACACTTAAAAAAAACCACCCAGGAAAATATTTGCTTGTAGTGTATACATTTAAACATTTTGTCAGGAAGAGAACCTACAACTGTGAGCTTGTTTATTAGACAAATAAGTTGTTAAAAGGGAAAATCCTTTATATATATAAGTATGCATTATAAATGTATATATATAACATATATATATATATTTCTTACAGGTTAAGAATCTATATGAATTAGGTAATTTATTTTCCCTAATATCACTGTGTGACAAAGCATACCACCAATCAATACAGCCGCTGTCTGCTCTCAGTAACCTGTGAGAGGTGGTGGTGCTGGGGGTGGGAGGGAGAAGCGAGCAGGGGCAAAAGGATAAAATTGTGGGATGCGTGCTCAGCAAATTATATGTGAATACATAACTCTCTCATCTCATAGATGTAAAAAAGGCCTCTGTAGACAATAGGCAGACACCAGGTAGACAGACACAAGGGCTCTGTAGCTCATTTATCTAGAAGTTACTTGTCCAACAAGTTCAGCTCTCTAGGACATAGGCAAAGCTAAAAAGTAAGTAAACAGCTTCTCAGGAGTCAGAATCAGAGCCTTAAGCTCCACAGATACACGAATTTTGCTCCTATTCTCATTTAAGATTTACTCTAACAAGCTTGATGATGTTTCCCTAACTCATAGCTGGTTAGAAGCAGCAAATTAAAAGGTATGGATATGAGTTGTTGAAGGCAGATATACGTATCAACAAGAACTGAAGTCAGGGGAGGGGACAGGAAAAACAATAAAAACAGATATAAGAACTCAGAAAATAGTGCAGTCTTGTTTAGGGTCAGCAGGGGCTCCATTTCTCAATGAAAAAAACAAAAAACAAAATAAAACCAAAAAACCCCAAACCAAAACAAAAAACAACAATCAAAGCACTCTCCATGTTGATGATCCTGAGACATTAGAAAAAGCTCAATTATGCTCTACAATGTTACTTCAAGAAGACAGTGAAGTTGGAAGTTGATAATGTGTGTATTTTCATTAAATGGACAAATGGTAAAAATTAAAAATGACTACCATTTTAACACGGTAATTATCAACGAAGTTGTACATTCACAAATGGAAAATTGACCAATGCAGATGGTGTAAGCAGCAAGAGCACCTTGCACAGTGTCTGTCCAGGTTAGTAGGCACTTAACAAATGTCAGTTCCTTTCCCTTCCTCTTAGGGTCTTTGCAGGCTCATGCTACATTACGTTCCAAAACAATATTTTCTGTTTAGACATGACTGTAGCACAATGCAACCAACCTCTTTGGTTCCCTGTGTTATATACCTTCTGCCTTCAGTACAAACCACCTTCTCTTATTGGATTATTACAATAGCCTTCAAACTGCTTCCGTGCCTCTAATTTTATCTCCTATTTAATCCATTTTCTACATACTGCCCCCCCTTTGTATTTCTAAAGTACAAATCAGGTCTAGCTACCTTCCTAATAAAACCTCTTCATGGATCTCCATGGCCCTCAGCCTGTCGCCTCTCCATTTTATTTGCACTATACCTGTTTCACCTCTTACCCCAGCTACGGTGGACTTCAGTAGAGTGCTCCAAAAGAGCTCTCGTTTCTGGGTTTTTGCACATGCCGTGCAGACTGCCTGGTGTCCTCTCCTAGCACCTTTTGCCTAACTCTTATTTGTTCTTCATTCCTTGGCTTAAACATTAATTTATCTGGATGGCATGGTTTAGGCATGGCTCTTGGGTGCTCTGCAGACTAAACACTCTGCACTGCATCTGCAGGCATACCTTTCTTACTTGATGCTTAAAGTAGGCTTCTGAGGGCTCTACCCTGTGTTTTGTTTTCCACTTACTCCTTGCCCAGAGCCTGGAATTAGTATACCCTCAATAAGAGCATTCTGCACGAGTTTGTATGCTCTTCCCCACAGAGCTGGGTATAATAATCTACATTTACTAGATAATCTGGGACTGGGAGTGGTACAGTAATTGAGGCCAAGTTCAACTGTTTAGCAACATTTCTTTGTCCGCTGAGGTTCTTAAAGTCCATCAACTGTCAAATAGTCATTTTCCTAGTAGTAAATTTAAGAGTGGCAGGAAATTCTAGGAAACAGTGCTTTCTTTGTAGATTACACTTGCTAATTGCAAATAACAAATCAGGAGAACCAACTGTTGAGGCACCCAAATACTGTAACACCTGAGAAGGAAGAAACACTTATCAAAATGATTGTCACAAGAAGAGTCTGCTGCTGCTGATAATGGCAACATTAATAGTGCTTCTATGTGCTATGCACTATTATAGTCATTGTATGTACACTAATTCATTTAATACTCAAAATAATCACGTGGTAGGTACTATATTATCCCTACTTTACCAATGAGGAAAGGAGGCATGGAGGGGTAATTCCAAGGCTGCTTGGCTAATGGATGAGTGGTAGATCTGGCACTGGGACCCAGGTAGCCTAACTCTAGAGCCTGTGCTCTGGACCATTATGCCAAGTTGAACATCCACAAAATGACAGAAATGTGCTGTGAATTTCTTTTCCAGTAGCTGACCTATCCTCCCTGTGAACAAAACATGGAAAACCCAACACCTGTACTAAAGCAGATATTTTCTTTCAATATAGTTAGCTGGCATGCCTCGGCTACATTAAAAAATCTTCGGAATTAATCTGCTCAAACAATGAAAGATACTATCTACCAAACAAAAATTTTAACTTAACATTTTTAAGACTTTTAGAAATCCACACTTAGAAAACTTAAAACTCAAATGAGGTGCATGAAAGCACTTCTCATCCTAACAGTATACTGAGAAACATGATCAGGTGAGCAAATTGCTTTTCTATTTTGTTTATTTCAAGAAAACTTATTTTTGCAAGGGAAAAAATGTAAAAAATGTAAAATGAGAAATATTTTTAGATCTTTAAATTTTAAGTACAAGCTGTTCATTTAGACTACTTTACAGTTTAACTTGTATACTGACAAAAAAAAAGATCTAATGATTATTTGTGACCCTGTAATCCTATATTCTTTTCTGTTGATCTCCACTGAAATAGAACCCTCCTTTATACCAAACAGTGCTTTTTTTTTGAAGCCATATTTGCTTAAACATACATTTTATCTTTATCCCTTCTCAAGGTTATTGCCATATGTGGAAGAAAAAAGAAAGTAATAAAAAGGAAATGTACAAATCTGCTAAAAGCAATTTTCATAAATTATGTTTATTTAAAAATAAAATTTTAACAAGAAACAGGGAAAATAATATTAAATGTAGTTTTTTTCCAGATGTATTATGCAAATCACATTTGAAATGGTTCCTTTATACTTTTTCAAGGTAGCATTTTATCCTTAAAAAACATGCCTAGGCATCTTTTTCTAAAATATTTCTTTCCCTTTTGGCTCTACTACTGTCAGCAGCCTAATATTTGATATTTTGGTTCCTGTTTGGACCCAGCAAAACTTCAGTGGAATCTGTAGCACAACAGATCTAAAACATTTCAAGAATAATATTACATTTATTATTTGTGACAGTTATTATAAAGCGCAAGAATAATGTTAGGAAGCAGCTTTAGTGGGGAAGAAATTGAAGTTAAACACTCAGTGTTCTAGTTGACAGATACATACTAGATTTAGACCTGTGCAATTTAAAAATGGTCAAAGTATTAAGCCATTGATAATGTGGTAAGGCCAACAAATATATCACCATTCCAATGTTTTGATAAGATGTTAATATTCAAAAAAGCATGTTTATGAATTCTAGGTACTACTATAGCTAATACATTTTAAGTAAAAATAATTCTTTCACTTAAGCAGTACTTAGTGTTTTTAGTTGGCACAGAAGATCAGTCTCTAAGGAAAATGACAAAAATTAAGATGGAAAAATTAGAGTTCTTTTTGGAGTGGTGGGAGGAAGGGAGGAGAAGCAATAAATTATGCCTATCTACAAAGATTATTTTGTTTTTCCAACACCACATGGTGTTCCTTTTTTGAAAATAAAATGGCGGTACCAAACAAAAAGTGAATTTACACTATAGAATGACTTTTATATAGCCTCCATATAAGAGCTCTAAGAAATGAAAAGTGATCTTTAATTAAAGGAGTGTCAGTCAGCACTGTTGCAACATCTTTCAGAGTGAAAACTGTAAATCACATCTCTTGGGAACTGCATGCAGAGTATCTTAAATCACAAGGGGAAAAGAGAATTTGTCGTAAGTGATCAGTTTACCTGCCTTTCGTTTACAGAAGGGCTTGGTAGCCTGGTTCAGTCCCCAGTACTTTGCTATTCATATGAACTACTGATGCAAACACCAGGAAGCCAGCCTGAGGTTTTAGGAAAGGGTGAAGTTTTTAAAAAAAACACTGCAGCACATGTGTAAAACAGATGTTCCTTTTAATTCATTTTTTTGATACTAAATTTGTACTTTGTGCCTCCAACAGAACTGGCCTCACAAAATGTGTAATGTTAATTCTCAGACCAAATTACAAGCATCTATCTATAGTGTTCAACTAACCTTCAGACAGAAGTTAAAAACAAACCTGATGTTACAATTTAACTCAGCTAATATATGGCAGTACAGCTTTAAGGTTGCTTACTAACACATGAATTAATGTTTTATAAGACCCCTGAATAGTAACTGAAAACTTTGAAAGATATAGCCTATATATATTTATATAGTCTTAAAAATTTATCTTTATTGTTGAAAGTATTACAGATATCCCTCTTCCCCCCTCCACCCCACATCTGCCCTCCCAGGCCTTCTCCACACTATTATCTGTGTCCATGGGTTATGAATATATACATATAAGTTCTTTGATTAATCTCTCTTTATTTGTACTTTTTCCAAGGTGAAACTTCTCATTAAGATGATTAGTAACTATGCCATTCAATTTAATCTATATGTACCATACACAATAAAGAGGGAAAAAGCCAATAAATTACATAAAGTTATACATTACAAAACTTAAACAGCACTCAGAAATATTTCCATAATCAAAAAGAAATGTCAACTAATAAAATTAATATTATCAACAATATTAATGTCACATTAAATCAAACCTTACCAGTTCCAGTGGCTGGGACATTAAGTTTGCTTAAGTGGTCTTTTTGAGCTTTTGCTAGCATGCATATTCTATGAAATTCTGCTTTCAGATCCCAGAAAGTCTTCTCTATATAACTCCTAAAATCAAATCAATATTTAAAAATGTAATGCTATTCCTTCAAATATACTTTAATTATAAATAAACTTACATAGCACCTTGTTATGTACCACAAAATAATTATGGAAAAATTAAAGTTAAAAAATGTTTTCAATTCCTACAAAATGTCCCCAAAAAAACAATTCTAGTGTTTGGAGACTCAGGAACAAAGTAAGTGATAAATTAAAAGTTCTAATACATAAGTATAGGGCAGACTAGTATATCTACTTATTCATGTATCACAACTGTACTGACTGTCTCATTCTCATATTAGAAATTTCAATGTATTGACTTTTGTTCTCTGTAAGCATCTTAAGTAGAAGAAAACTAAATATTTCTCACTTTGATAAAGTTCACATTAAGAGCCATTCATCTAAAACAATGTGGCTATAATACTTGGTCTAGAAAGTCAATATAAAATATTAGTGCTTTAGAGAATAAGTTATATTAACTGTATAACTTATTTAGGTCATTTTCACATCGAGGAACCTTGGATTGGTCTCTTCTAGTTCTAAGAGGCTGCTATTTTCTTACAACTGCTAAAATTAAAAAATATGTAAATAAGAATATATTTCAATATTTATAATTTTTAGAGTTGGCAAAAAAAGATATAGAACTACCTTTCATGGGATAAAGGAATGCCAAGACTCCCTGGTGAAGTTTCTTTTTTAGGAGAAGAAACCTCTTGTCTTCTTTCCTTAAAGATACAAAATAATTACCAATTTAAATTGTTTCTAAACTCAAATGAGAATGGGTTAACAAAAACGCAATGAAAATTTATATTCCTCATTGAAAAATAAGTTTACATAGTTCACACACACATACACACACACATATCTATAATGAATTATATATATTATATATAATAGATTATATATATAGAATAGATTTTTAAGAAAATGAGAATAAGGGAGAAAGGAAAATGAAGGTAGAAAAACAGGATGAAGACATAAAATATCTCTGTCTGGTAACTCCTTCAATTACTATTTCCAATACTGATCATTCAAGGAATTTCCTCAGATCCACCTATTGATCAAAACTGCTACTCTAATCACTAGTAGCACCTGAAATAACCAGAAAGTTTAGGGGGGAAAAATATGTGTGTGTGTGTGTGTGTGTGTGTGTGTATACATTTCTTTTCCATTATTGGCCTATACATTTAAATCAATGCCTTTGTATTTTGTTATAGGTTCTTTGCTGAGGAATGTAGCTGTATTAGAGGAAGAAACCAAGCAACAGCTCCTTAGCATTTCACATGTATTTTAAAGATAGTGCAATTATGTATTTAAGCTACTTTAACACAAGTTCTTGCCTTTCACTCCCACCCTGTGGTTTATAGTGGAATTACACTTATTCTGATATTTAAAAGTCAACATTGAAAGACATGTTATAATCTATTGTATGGTTTAAGATTAAAAAAAAATTTCAATCATAACTAGAAAACTTTGTGTACCCTATAAAGCTATAAATTGACAAATTCAAATATCTGAAGAAGTCCTAATATTATACAATCATAAATTAAAATTAAGCCAAAACAGTTAAGGTCTTAAATGAGTTCAGATTCAAACCAGTGGACATTTATAGTTAGTGACTTTTAAGATATTATTCAATTAAGGTCATTGTAGCTTATTTGTCATTTTTACTTCATTGTTTCTTATCATCTGAGTATATCTCCCTTTAATCTTGCTTTTTGAAAAGTTCTTTCAGTTTCTTAGGAGTCTTATTAGTCCTTTAAGAAAAAGACTTGATTCCTGTTTGTTTTTCTTAAAATTAATATCTTCCCCAACTTATTTCAGTGTATTGCTCTACTTTTCCTGCTTTTTATAATATTCCTTTTACAGTTTTTCTAATATACATTCCTAAATACCAATGTTTGTTTAACATTTCTAAAATAGAAAATTACTTTTAGTAATTAGTAAAATAAAATCTTGGCAATCCAAACAGTTTGTGATTTTATATATTATGTAGTCAGATTGAGGAAAAATAAAGATCATTTACTGCTGCATACTTTTTGTCTGACAAACATTTTAGGACATGTTTTCTTCTGGATTTAAATTGTTTTATTGAGCCTCTAAAGCAGTCACATCAGAAGACATTTTCATATTCACAGTTTGTTTTTAAAAGCGGTAGACAAAATTTTTCTTTAGTGTGATGAGCAATTAGAATACTCAATGGCTTTTAGTGTGGCCTAGGAAGAAAGGCAACATTTTAAAGCTGGCCAACCATTTAGGGTGCTACACGTATGAATATAAACTTTTAAAAGACTGTATTATATTAAATCTATATCAACAAAATCAGAAGTAATATTAAGATAATAGAAACATTTGACAATATGTTAAATCATAATAAGTAAATCAAATGAAATGATTAATCACCCTTTAAAATTTACTACTAGAAATTCTCACTATGAAAAACAATTATTTCATTACGAGCTAGAAAGAATAAAAAAGAAGTACCCTGTAATCTTAGCCTAAAAATGAAGACAGTTACAGAAAGTGATAAAGAATATCCCAATTGTCAAAGTACTGATGATTCTGACATGAACTAGGAATGACTACTTCTGATGTTAAAGAGGCTTTAAAAGCTAAGGCAGTAAAGGCGGGGGAGGAGATGGAGGAAAAGGTTGGAAAAAAATGGTAAGTCTTTGGCTTCTCAAATAATTAACTAATGTCAAATTATTTCTGTGATGTTTAGATTTGATTACCTGTATGGGTGAATTTATCTGGAAAGATTCTTTGGGTATACTGGCAGGGGGTTAAGGAAACACTAGTCACTCTTTGAGGAATTTCTACAAAGTATTTGTCTTCAGCTTTTTTGGGGTTTGAAATATAGCTCTGCTGACTGTTATTTTTGTCATTATTATAGAAGAAAGTATTACTGATTGTTCTAAGCAATGCACTGCAGCTTTTATGATTCACACCAAATACATCTGTTGATATATTTCAAATAATATTCTTAGGTCCCCAGCATCCCAAGAAAAAAAATTTAAAAAGGAACCTAAGATCTGGAAACAGCCCAAGTGCCCATCAGTAGATGAGTGGATAAAAAAGCTGTGGGACATTTACACCGTGGAATACTATGCAGCTGTAAAGAAGAAGAAGCTTGTACCCTTTGGGACAGTATGGATGGACCTGGAGAATATTATGCTAAGTGAAATAAGCCAGGCAGCGAAAGAAAAATATTACATGATCTCGCTTATATGTGGAATCTAAAGAACTTAATAAACTGATGAACAGAATAGATTCAGTGACATGGAAGCATAAATGAGACTGATGAATGTCAGAGGGATGAAGGAGGGTGAGTGGGTGGAGGGGGAGAGTAACCAAAGAATATATGTGCATATATACACAACCCAAGGACATGGACAGTGGTGGGTAGAGGGACTGGGGAGGGGGAAGGAATGGGGTGGAACGGGTCACTGGGGAGAAAAAGGGACATCTGTAATATTTTGAAAAAAAAAAAAAAAAAAAAAAAAAAAAAAAAGGAACCTTTAGACATCATGTTAGTTCCAAAAAACAAAACAAAACAAAAAAACAAGTAGGGTTTATCTAGAATGGATATACCAGGTTAATGGTATTTTCCATTGACACAACTTTCTGAAAATAATCATTTAATTTTTCAAAGGATTTAGGATTAGTATAGTCAATGGTGACTCCAACACTTTTCCAGAAACTCCGACTTTCTTTTCAATGCTAAGTTATGTTAATGAAGATTTCTCAGTTTTTTGAGCATCTTGGAGAGTAAGTCAACATTAAAAGACATAACTTGTATTTTTCTCTCTACTCTCAAATATTATCCAGATGGACCCTGCACTGCAGGAAGTTGAAGTTATTGCAACTTCAAATAAGAAAGCAACAGAACTTCAAACATGTTTCAGGAGATCTTAAACATTAAATCATGCAACAAATAAATTTATCTTAAGGTACTAAAACTTAAAATACTTAACATTATAAACTGTTCCAAGTACTAGTTTGGAAACGCTGAACTTGTGGAATGATACTGAAATAAGAATTTTACATGTCGTACTTTCCATTTACACTTCCAGTACGGTGCTGGATAAATTGTTCAACTAAATTATTAAGATAAACCCATTTGAAGTGGTTGGAAGATACTGTAAAATAATTCTTTAAATTTCCATTTATGTGAATTGGGAGAATTTTGTTTTCGTATATGTAAATCAATTTACCCTTCTCATAGATGGGTATTCTATGTTCAAAGGCTATTTGAATAAGCAATAATATTTCAAACAAACAAACAAACAAACAAACAAACCCAAAGTGGTCAATATTTCATTAGGCTAAAGCCAGGTTTATTCTTAATGGAAAGGTAATGAAAAATATGTTTGTGTTGGAGTCCAGGTTCTATTAGATATCAACACATCTCCCCTGGCTGGGAACTTTGGTTAGAATGTCATCCTGATACACCAAGGTTGCAGGTTCAATAGCCCATCAGGGCACATACAAGACTCAACAAATGAATGCATAAATATATTGGACAACAAATCTCTATTTCTCTCTCTCTCCTTCTCTCTCTTTCTCTTTTTCTCTCTCCCCCTCTCCCTTCCCTTCTCTCTCTCAAATCAATAAATTAAAAAAAAAAAAAAAATCAACATCTCAAAGAAAGACATGCATATTTTCCCTAATTTCTGCCTTTTAAAGTATTTGGTAGTAAAAGTGAAAGTATTTTATTCCTTTTATAAACCAATTTGAAAAACACAGAATGATTCATCATGGGCAAGATATGGATTCAACTTAATTGTCTATTGGTGGTTGAGTGAATAAAAAAATGTGATATATATAAAATGGGATATTATATACACATACACATAAAGGAATATTTTAAGGTAAATATATCAACTTTAAAAATAAAGAAACCCTGTCATTTGAGAAAACAATGGATGAACCTAAAGAATATTATGCTATAAGAAATAAGCCAGGCACAGAAAGAGAAATACTGCATAATCTCACTCATATGTGAAATTTTAAAAAGCCAAACCCATAGAAGTAGACAACAGAATCGAAGAGGAAAGATTTTCAGTTATATAGGATAAATAAGTCCTGAAGATCTAATGTACAGCATGGTGACTATAGTTAATACTACTATTCTATACTTGAATTTGCTAAGAGAGTAAATCTTAAATGTTTTCACCGCAATAAAAAAGAAAGATAACTATATGAAGTGACAAATATATTAATTAGATTGATTGTAATGGTCATTTCACAATGTATATGTATCAAATCATGTACACTGTAAATATATAAAATTTTTGTTAATTTTAACTACATAAAGCTGGAGGAAAAAAGAAATGCAATGAAAAATTTAAATTCAGAATCATGTTTTTTCTAAGCAACTGAAATCAGTAAAATTAAATTGAGTTATGACACTTCTGAAGATTATCCTAAACTCATTAATATGATGTATATTCTCTCCGATGAAAGGAATCTAAACTTTAAAGGCTAATACTGAATATAGGTGGTAAGTTTTCAATGATACATATATGAAATATAGCAATGACTATCACTTTTATTCCAGTGTTCATATAGAAGATTGCTTCTAAACTTTAGTTGAGATCCTTGCATGTAAAAGGAATATTTATTTTCCTGAGTGTAGCCAGTACTGATTTTGTTTCTGGACAAGGCTTAACAGAATTATATGTTTAAAATAAAAAAGGATTTGCTCTTACTTGGAACAATGTAA